AGCTTAGGGCCCCTTTGCACCTCAGCCCTCCCCTCTGAGCAAGACCCTGTGAAAAGCCTGTCCTTCCTGTGTGGGATTTTACCTGGAGAGATCTGCGCTGGGGTGGACAGCTCTTCCTCTGCAGGAGTGCTCTGTGTCCACACTGCCTCCTGGACATCTGGCCTGGCTCCCCGTGGGGCTGTCCAATTCTCTGCCAGACCGGTCCCCAACCCGTGGCTCAGAAGCCATGGAGTTCAGGCTTAACGTCTTCAGAATTACAAAGCAGAAAGACACAGGAAGGAGATTCTTAGTGGCCTTGGAACACACAGGACTTACTGTGGTCCTGCCTGTCTAAGCTACAGGTGTGACTCAGTTGGGACAGCTCTTGCCTAGCATGCAGGGAGTCTTGGGTTTGGTCCCAAGGACCATATAAACCAGGCTTGGTGGAAAATTCCTGTAGTCCCTATATTAGGTAGGTAGAGGCAAAAGGATTAAAAGTTCAAGGTCATCCACCGATACATAGATAATTTAAAAATCAAAACCCCTCAAAAACACTGGCAACCTGAACTACACACAGAAAACCCAAGTCAAAACAAGAGGAAAGTAAAAAATGAGAAGATGCCCCATTAGAGGGGACAGGTCATTATGCCACTGTTCGGTTTAAGAGTCATGTACTTTGGCAAAGAAAAGAAAAGGCCATGATTACAAGGAATAGACAGTAGCAAGGGTATGGGTAAGGACAGGGTGGAGAACTCTGCACAAAGAGTGTGAGTGTTTGTGCATGATTCATGTGTGACCACAGGTGTAGGTGTGTGGATATGTGTGTGTGTGTGTGTCTTCCTGTCTTCCTGTCTGTCTGTCTGTTCTAAGCCTTTGAGCATACATGTAGAGCAGGAATATTCATGCAATGCTTTTGCACCTTTTTTTTTAGATTTATTTATTTATTATATATACAGAAGAGGCTGCCAGATCTCATTACATATGGTTATGAGCCACAATGTGGTTGCTGGGAATTGAACTCATGATCTCTGGAAGAGCAGTCAGTGCTCTTAACCTCTGAGCCATCTCTCCAGCCCCGCACCTTAGTTCTTTTTGTTTGTTT